CCCTCAGTGAGCAACCACATGTTAACCAGAGTGATATTCATCTGCCAGGGAATAATCCCAAGATGAAACAAACTACAACTGCAGGTGCGAAACCCAGCAAGAATCCTCAAAACTTTCCTGCTTCAGGGTGATCATCAAAAGCCATGAGAACAGTTTGAACAAATAATGCCCATACGTTCTGAGAATAAAAGATACAATCAGGCTCGTACCCTTCTCACCCCTCCTTCTCCTGTGAGATCTCTGTGTTGGGAATAGAATAATATAAGGCTTGAGGGAGCAGGTTGTGAGATAAAAGGCCACATCACAATGATGATCTCTATCGATCGGCAACCTTGGGCACACAGAGGAGGTCCGGCATTTGTCACGTTGAAGCTGAACCCAATAGCTGATCCACGCCGCTCTCTGATGAATTGGCCCTGTTCGCCAAGTTTGTTTAATTGATGACGTGTTCCCTTTCAGGTGGACCACCACTATGTCCCATGCATTCATTGATTTTCCAAAACACCCCCGCCTTTACCCAAGCTTCTTTTTCCCGCTTTCTTTAAACACCTAACTGCAAAAGATAAACCCACCCCCACCTTGACTAGACCTCGGCAACATGGCAAGAGAAGTGTCCTTCAGCCTGTTTCTGACCAGCCAGTTAGACTCTCAGAGATGGATATACAGTGGCTCTTTGTTAGTATAGAGGCCTACTAGGTGTATCAACTTAAAAGTATTATGAGAAGTGACCAAAAGTCAAGGGGGTTTTCTCTTCTCACATTTCTCAAAGAAGAGCTGGAGCTGTTAGCTGAAAGATGTACTAAAATAAATACACACACACACACACACACACACACACACACACACACACACACACACACACAAAGGCACACAAAATAGTTTCATTTTCATCTCAGATGTACATGAATGTCAAAAATACCACAGCACTAATGCCAAAGGTACTCCGGTTTTATCACTTAAATATGATAATGGTACTTTCTGAATCCTCCACACTCTCTTAGCACTCTGTGTTGAGTGGTGTTAAATGTACAGTAGGTTATAATAACCACTGACTACGGTTGGATGCATGCAGTAGAGTCCATTAACAAGAATTCTGATGTGAAATAGCAACCACAGGCATCTTCTTTGGTGAGCAATACCAAACTGTTGATACCTCGCTCTACCAAACTGTTAATGTTTCAAAATGCTCACCAGGCTAAAGTGCACCACGCTTCAGCAACTCTCAACAATCCATACAGGAAAGAATCTGAATTTGTAAACCACACAATCCTATTCCAGGGGATCTGGAGTGCGTAACTTTGTCATCTTGAGAGCCTGCATGAAAACTAACACTTGCTAGAGCAGCCAAGCAACCAGTCAAGCGCTAGGTAGGCAGCTTTTGGCCATCAAAGGGAAATTCCAGCCTAATGGGGTTTCAGAGTTTCCAGTGTATCCCTCTACCATCCACAGAGAACAGTGATTACCTGAGGAGTGTTATCACACACACACACACACACACACACACACACACACACACACACACACACACACACACCTTTCACACTCTCTTAACTTTGGAGTTTGTACTTCAGGTGGATGCACATGCTTTAGACAAGCAAAAGTAAGTGTGGGAGTGAGTTTGACAGTGGAATGAGCATGAGGCTGAGTGTGCGGCATCATTATGGGATTTTAACAAATATAAAGGATAGCTAGCGAAGCACCCCAAGAAACTATGGATTGACTGAAGAGCTGAGACATGGAAGTAAAAACAGGAGAAGCAGCACTGGCAAAGGCAGAGAAATTGTGCAAAAAGGCACACTTTTGGATTTAAAGCACCTATCTCAGATCCCAGAGCCTTGAGAATGGGATTGGATTACTGTCGGTTAGATTTACTCCTGTGGCTCTTTGCCACTACATCATCGTAGGGCCCCCTGCCTCTGGATCAATGGGGATATTTACTGCGCCTGTTTCAGAGAGACTTTCACAGTAGGCAGGGCATTAAACAAACAGCCGACAGCCCCGTCCCAATGATGGCCTGTCTGTTCACACTGTGCCATGCCCAAATGTCACACATATTCACTTCAAACAGGTAGCACACAAACACGAGTGAAGTGCAGATAAAACAAAAAAAGGCCAAGCAATTTGCTCTGTGTGAGGAAAGCTGCCACATTTCAAGACAAGAAAAAAATATCCAAGAGAAATGGAAAGACATGTTTACTTCTGGACAATTAGCCTTGTAACCCACTCTAAAATTATACTTGTTAAATCCTCTTAAATGGACACACCTCAAATAATTCCTTGTCTGCGTTCCCCTGGTGCCTCATAAAAATTCTGTTTTTAACAGTAAAATGAAATTGCTCTTCACATGTTAGACATTCCATTGTAATGTATTGCTTAATGGAAAAAAATAATCTGGGTAATGCTGAAGTCTTGTTATGGAAATAACAATGCAACAGTGTCATATTTATAACCTCATTTAACCCCATGTTGAGCTGGAAAGGCATCATAATTGAAATCACTTGAGGAAAAACAACTCTCCTTCACAGAGTATTTCTATGAACAGCGACAGCCTATTGAATTATATTATAAATTTGAGAAGAATTGCCATTTAGAGTGTCAAACAACAGTCTTTACATGCATGTATACTGGCTGTCTGCAAAATCATTTGCTAAATGCGAGCACATGAGTCGAAGAATGAGTGGAATGTATTTTGTTTCCACTCAGATATGAGCAAAATAAGTGCCTTCATAGAGAAAAACAGTCCGTATGAAATTTCTTCATTACTTGACAATTCCACTGACTAAGCCTGCATGATCAGCTGACAGTGCAATGTCAAACAATGGGCTTATAAACGGCAGCGCACATTACCGAATCAGCCCGAAGAGCTCCCGAGGGCAGACTTAACTGATTCATCAACATGAAAAGTAATATGTGTGTGAAAGTCAAGAGAAAAATAACACAAAAATAAACACTTATGGCTCAGTGGTGAAAGCTGATGTAAGCTGGACCAATCATCACTTAAGCTGCAGTGGATAATGGGCCGGTTGGTCTGCTTTCTTTGCAATAGGAGTCAAGCTGTATATTTTTGCCTTGATAATGCATCTTTCTCCTAATATATGTTATTACATTTTTGCTGCTTTAAGGTTTCCGTAGTGGCTCAGGTAATTATCCTGTCTAATAGCTATAGCTCAAACATGCTTGGAAACACCAGGTAGAAACCCTGCAGGCACTAATTTAAATTGACAGGATGTATGACCACAGAGGACATTTTGAAATCAGATCTTTAGATTTGTTTTGGAGTGGCTTCCAATATTTATTTTTTGTCCCCAAGAATAATTTATTGCCATGTTCTACAGACTGACATGAAAATGACTTTAAAGTCATGGTTATCTTACTTTATATAGTGAGGAATTCAGGATCAAAGCTATAGTCATGCGAATCACATCTGCCAGTCCAATGGCCACAGATAAGCATGGAAAAACTCTTTTGTTCTCAGTGATTAAAGTTACCATTAACTTTCATCTTGCACCTGATGTGGCTGCACGGCGTTCACAGCAGGGACTTTTTATTTTCTCCGTCTCTAAGAATATTTGATGTAATTCTGACTTGTCTTTTTTATGTTCGAGAAAGTGAGAACATGGGTATTTGTGTGGGAGTTTGAGATTGTGTGTGTGTTCGCACACATGTGGACCATGTGTCTTGTGTACTGCACCAGAGGGAGGAGGCCACCATAGCTTTACTGTTAACACTCACACACACACATGCGCACGTGCAGACACACACACACACACACACACACACACACACACACACACGATGATTTCACTGAATCCCACATGGCATATGCGACTGACACAGCACTGTCTCACATGTTTATATTGCCACAGCAGCAGGAAGACATCTTACTTATGAAGTGAAATGCCTTGGCACACTCTTGGGCAAAAAGATTTATAATGTAGTCATATTATGTAGTATTGTAATGTGAAAACCATTATCAAGATTATGATTCTCTCCACACACCAAATGTATAAAATATAGCCGAGTTAGTTTTAGTTTTTATGTTTGTTATAGATTTAATAAATAAATTCCACAAAGGATAACTGCTTTTGCCTGGGATAACCTCATCAGGAAAACAATTAGATTTCACGATACAGCATTTTGTGGTTTCATTGCAAATTATTAGAAATCTTGCAAATATTTTTTTGTGTGTGTCTAACTAATGAATATATTATTATGGTTCTGATGGTTTAATTACATGTACAGATTAGTGGATTTCCAGGATGTAAAGAAAGACAACATATCTTCAGGTCCAATTGTGTGATTACTTTTTCAAATGTTTGTGTTGATCTAGACAGGAGAACACACACACACCCACACACACACACACACACACACAGTAATAATCCAAACTAAATACGAGTTATTCAACAATCTTTTCTTCACAAATGCATAAAGCTCAATGCAATGCATACCATAAAATGTCTGGGAACTGTGCTCAAAAATGTGTCCCAAAAAAGAAGGCATATTTCTTTAATGAGAATAAACAGGCCATGATTTTTGAGGATCTAGGAAGCAAAACCAGTTGGTTTTTTTAAAGGTAACTTTTAATTTATTAGTGAATTTAATAGTAGAATGCCAAATAAAAAAAGGTGTTTGCATAGATTCAAATGTGAATGATTTTAGAACAATTTGCATAATAATACTTTTTTTTTTATTATTACTTTAGATACTAGATGCCCTGCTGGTCAGTTAGGCCCACACTACACACACAAACAAAACAAAAAAACATATATCCTTCTACCATAATCCTTTCAGCTCCAACATATTGAATAATAATATGCATGAGTGAAAAAAAGGATTCAGAGAAATTTAAATAACAATAATAATGATAGTGTTAATAAGGAGACCTTGTCATTGATTTGATCATATGTATCTGGTATTGCAATTTTAATTTATGGAAATAAAAGGGTGACAGAGAAGGAGAAGACATGGTGCAGATAAGGAAGCGATTCAAACACACACCTGTTCTCTTTTTTTTATTTAAGAAGGTTTTGATTGAGTGATGAGTTTGCACTCTGACAAGTAGCACAGATGCAATAACAGAGAACCGACTCTGCAAATTGTAGGAGTAGGTACGCTGAAAACAATGAAAACAGCATGTGATAGATAGCTCAGTCAAAAGGTTAACGGTAACTCACAGACAAAACGTCTTGTTTTTAAAAAGTGCATTCACAAACATGACAAATACTCTCAACTCATGATGTCTATTTTTATGTGATACAAAATATGCATACCTGTTTTAGATTTGTCTGTATTTCTATACATAGATATTTCTTCAAAAGGATCACTTCTTTTTTCTTTTTACAAAGGTTAAAAGCAGGGTTGTGGTCATAGCAGCTTCGGATATCTCTAGCCTCTTCACTGTGTAACAAGATACACATAGTCTCAACAGATATCCAAATAAAACCTACCATTTTCTCTGTTGTTCAACTCAAACGACATATTGTCTTTATTGAAAGAGATATTCATCAGTGAAGCCTGCAGTTTAGAAAAAAAATGAATCAATAAAATGCTTGGGCCATTAAATATATTTTTGTATACCCGCTTTTTTGTCAATATCATAAATACTAAAGACACAGGACAATATTATAAGACAATGCTGGGAGACTAAATGTAAAGATTAAAATAGTTCAAACATTATTTTTTTCAAGTTTTCTAGTTCATGAGAAAAAAAATATCAGGCGAGCACAGAAACACTATACTTCAGACTTTTCTTCAGTCTATCCATGGCCCTTTTATATTTAAAAGAGCAATCATAAACAAGGTAGCCAGACAAAGGCCAGACTGTCTTTTAACAAATCTCTGTTCTTTTCTGTTTTAGTCCTGTCCAGACAAGATGCTTGCCCATCGTAACTGAGGCAGGATCCTGGTTTTCAAAGGAATTCATAAAAGCAGTCAAACATACTGATAAAAACCAATAAGTACCATGCAAATCTTGCAAGACGACATATTCTCAAACAAGAGACAAAGTATTCTTCGTATAGGCGAAATATCAAGTGAGGAGGGAATGGGTGAAAGGCAAAGACCTCTAATCAATACTAAATACTATATTTCCAAAACCAAACAAAAAATATTTAATCTGTACATAATATAGTACGCATGAGTTCAGACTGGATCAGCAGTTTTTCTTTCCTTGTTGTTAGACTCTTTGTCTTTGCCAAATGCCTACCTTGGAATAATACAGAAAAGTCTTTTTAATTGATCCCAATCTCTTTGTTCTCCTCCATAAATCTGGAGAAGGGGCGGCTGGCCCCGACATCCAGACCAGCCTTCTCCATACCCGTCATGGGAGGACTGCTGCCAGTGTGAACACGGTCCATTCCTCCCGGCATGGCTCCCAACGAAGTGATTCCTGCACCGCCGAGGCTGACAGGCAGCTGGGTGATGCCTCCATTCTGGATCACAGAGATCTCATTGTTCTTCATGGCCAGCCCATTGGTGATGGCGGCTGCGTACTGGTTCCAGAAGCCCGGGTCAACGTTCATGGCCCGAGCCGCCAGATCCTTCTGGAACATCTCGCTGAACTTCATGGCATCCCCGCCCAGCAGGGCCATGGGATTCTCCACGGACAGTCGGCGACCCCTTCGGGCTGGAGCGTTGTTCCACATGTGTGTTCCCATGTGAACCTAAAATTAGCAAGACAGTAAAAAGAAACATCATGTGTCACGTGTGTCATTGTAAGTCACAAATCCTACATACATCCAAGCAAATACTACATGTAAACAAAGACTTTATTGACAAGAATAGAAGGGGAAAGGCCAAAATTCAGCATAAAAACAAATAGGCATACATTTTTTTTATGATTTTGTGATACACAAAAAATGTATATTAGAGTGCATTTGGAAAGTGTTGGAAATTGATAATAGGCAATGAAACAGATATCACAAAACAATTAAGGTAGCAGCAACATTTCAGCCTCTGCTGAGTTGTTCAAATAATATTAAGAGATATGTTAGTAGAAATTAAATTTTTAAATTTTGAGGCCTTTTACATGTAAATACAAGTATTTGTTATATCTGAAATGGTCTGACTTCAAATGCATGCTGGTAGTATAAATCTAAAATTTCATGATTCATAATTCATAAAATGCCATCAATCATTAAATCTATTGAGCAAACAATGTGATGACACATTACATGGTGTGAATCTGCAATTGGAATGACCCCATTTATATAAAATTCTCATTGATGCTATCTTAAACTGGCTCATACCTTCAGATTGCCTTTTGTGGTGAAAGCCCTTCCACAAATAGAGCAGGCAAAAGGTTTTTCCCCAGTGTGTGTGCGCTCATGGATCTGCAGAGCACTGGCTGAGGAAAAATTCTTCCCACATGAGTGGCAGTTGTGCTGCTTAGGAGTGCGTCGTGGAGGTGGGGGTGCCAACATGGGGTTGATGCTGGGGCTCATGGTGGTTTGGGGCGCTGCAGCAGGAACCTGGATACCCACAGGCAGGTGAGAGTTGTCGCTCAGAGACACTGACTTCCCATGTCCATTCATTTCCATTTTGATCATGTTTGATGCAGTACTAGCCAAATTAGGAGTGCTCAGCCCTGAAAAAGAAGAGGTCAAATTGATATTAGTAAGCTAAAATTAAAAGTGGAAAGGATTTGCAAACAGAACCCCATATGGCTACAAGGTAGCTGCTTGAATTTGTCAGACTTGAAAACTAAGGCTAATAAGACGTGTTTTGTGTATTTAATAATTCATAAAATGTGTGAATAACACTGTACTAACTCTATTTACTCCTTTTCTAGCTATCAATATATCATATCCAATCATATCATCTTTTATATTTATACTGAGTAGATATTGTCATTGTGGGTACATTATTTTTAGTAATAACTTCACATTAAATATGTATATAATAAATAATTTGTTTGTTGATTTTGCACATACACACCTCGATCTCTATTTAGAAACAGCATGCTGAAGTGGCTTTCCTCCTTGATAAAGTGCCTGCCAGGTTGAGTGGCAGTCAGGTCAAGGGCCCCGGTGCCTTCAGTTGCAGAAAGCGGAGATGGGGTCTCTGATTTTTCCGACTTCACTGTTGCCAAGCCAGCTGTATTGTTTTCCTGGCCCTCCTCTGCTGTCATGGCACTGCTGTTGTTATTATGGTTGAGTGTAGCTGGGGACTTGGATAGCTGGATCTCAGAATGGCTGTGAGCTGGGGACAAATGCTGCATAGAGCCAGAGGACTCAGACAAAGCAGGGCTCCCCAAGCTTTGACCTTCAGCATCCCCCACGACAGACAGGGAATCAGTGGCAAAACAATCAGTCTCTCCTCCAAAGCTGCTGCCATTCTGCGAAAGCTTTTGACCAAATGCGCGGGTCATGTTGGCAGTGGAGTCGATCATCTTCATCTGGTTCTCCATTGCTGCAATGCTGGAAATGATGGAAGTCGGTGGGGAGCTCCCAGGTGAATAAGGTTTAGATGGGTCCATTTCTAGCTCTTTTAAGTCAGCTTCATCTTCCATAGCCTGCTCCATTTCATCCAGAAGGTCATCATCATAATTACTCATCGCATCTAAGCTCTTCTCGTCATAGGAGAGGTCAGTGTCCATCTCCTGCAAGCTTTCAGGGACTGGGGTGTTGGGAATGTGCCCTCCCATGTGCATACGAATGTGCTGCTGCAAGACAACAGCATTGGTGAACTTCTTCTGACATATAGGGCAGGAGTGCTGGACTCGAAGTGGGGGTTTGGATCTGTGAACACCAAAGTGTGTTTTCAGATTTCCCTTGGTGGTGAATGCCCGCCCACATATCTTGCATTTGAAAGGCCTCTCACCAGTGTGGATGCGGTAATGCATCTTGAGAGCACTCTGGCAGCTCAGAACACGATGACAGATGACACACTGGTTTGGGTCGGTCATCTTCTTGTCAATATTCTCAACAAGCTGCTGCAACTTTGATGTCTCTGAGGTTTGCATAGAGTCTAGGAGGCCTCCAAAAGGAAACTTGGCCTTAAACTGGTCTGAGAGCATGGGAAGGACAGGATGGGAGACAGGGTTAGAAACAGAGTTGGGGCTAGTGATGGGTTCAGTGACCTGGCCACTGCTGGACGATGTGGTGGAGGTGAGCGCAGAGGAAAGTACCACTTGAGTTACTGTGGTTGTGGTGGTGGTGTTCTCTCCTGGCCTAGTAGAACAGTTTGGGGGCAGGAGAACACCTTCAGGTTTCAAGAGAGGAGGTGCATCACTCCCTAGGCTGGGTTTTGGGGAGGGCGAAGTAGTGGTCATGCCAGAATCAGTGATGATATTAGGGGACAAAGATGCACACTCGCTTGATGGTGGAGATGGCCTTTGAGGGGACCTGTTGAGTGGAGTGAGGCTTGGAGACTCGCCAAAACCTCCCATCATACTCGGCAATGTGGGAGGCAGCTGGAGCCCAACTGAGGTGGGAACTGTGGGGAGAACAGGTTTGCTGTCTAGCCATGTGGTTACTGGTTTTTCTGGGGGCAAAGACATTCCATACGGGATGCCTGAGCTTGTGGGCACGTTGTCCAGGTACTCTGGCACAGGGTAGGGGTTCATCTGAATATGTGGGTATTTCTCTTTGTGCCTCTGGAAGTGAACTTTCAGATTTCCCTTGGTGGAGAAACGGTTGCCACATATGTTGCATTTGTAGGGCCTCTCTCCAGTGTGGGAACGCAGGTGGATCTGTAGGGCGCTGTCACTGCCAAACACCTTGGCACAGAACCGACACTTATGCTTGAAGAAGGGGTCCTCGGAGCTGGGCTTAGTGTCAAACACAGACACATTTGGGGGCTTCCCCTTGCGGTGCTTCATCAGAGCAGAGAGGGGGTCGAGCGCATTGGCTGTGGCTGCTATGCTGGCCAGTGGGTTCGGGAAGATAACGCTGCTGGATGAGCTGTGAGGTATCAGTGGTAAACTGGAGGCAGAGCTCAGGAGGCTACTGTGGCTGAGTGAGGGAGGAGTGCTGGAGTTCCTGGGAAGAGCTGAGCTGCTGCTGATGCCACCACTTCCTGTTACACTACTACTAGTGCTAATGTTGTTGTTTGTGACTGAGGATGAGCAGGAGGGAAGTAAAGATGACAATCCAGTACCACTGGGTGGGGGAAACACCGAGTTATTTGAGGATGTGCTCGGGATTGAAGAGTTAGACTGCTGACTGCCACTTTGTGGCGTTTGAGAGAGAGGACCCTCTATTGCTGAGGTCAGGGGTGAAGGTCCTTGACCATTGAGAGTAGCCGGCAACCTAACAGGCAGCTGATGGACAGGGGGAGTGATGAAGTTGTGTAGTTGAAGCTGACTTGCAACAGGAGGGACACAGGAGGATATAGACCCCTGGTTTCCAGCAGCATTGCTGTGAAGGTGGTTGAGAGCAGGCTGTGAGGCAGACTGCCTGTTCATCAGAGCCACCTGACTGCGTATCTGTTCTATCAGCTGCAGCTGGTGTATCTGCTGCTGCTGGAGGGCCATCAGTTGGTCCAGGATCATGGGAATAGCCATGGTGGAAACCCCACTGCCTGCTGCTGCCCTTACACTCTGTGAAAACTGGGCAACCGCAACCCGGGTGCCATGTAGAGTCTCCAAGGTAACATTGGTGCTTGGCATGGCGTAGTTTGTGACAGTGGAGGGGACAACATCGTCGAGCTGAGGTAGAGAGCCATCTGGCTCAGGGGATGTCATATCTCTCTCTTCAAGATCCATATTTTTTTCAGGAGAAAGCTCTAGCTCCATCTGCTCGTCCTCCTTCTCTATAACATTGACCCCATTTAAGGTTGCTGTCTCTGGGATGTCATCCCCCTCGCCAGCAGGACTGTGGTTGCCCTCCCTGGGGTCCTCACTGTCAGCCTGCTCACTAGAGCAACTGGGGACAGGGGAGGGCTCTGTAGGGTACTCTTGGGAGGGGTTAGGTGTGTCCTCATTGTCATTCACTATGAGCACCAGGGGGTTTTTGGTGCAGTTCTTTAAATGTTCACAGAAGTCTGACCACTTGAAAAACTCAGCGCAACACTTCTCACATACATGAGTCTCCTCACTGCCACTGCGGCTCTCATTCCCGCTGTCTGCATCATCCAGCACATCACCTCGGGCTAAAGGGAGTGGAGGGGGTCAGGGGAGTGAAGGGGGAAAGGAGAGGGAGGAGGGAACAAAAAAAGAAGAATTAATGAATAAATAATCAATAAAGAATCCACACATATTTTGCAGTGCAGTGCTGCAAAGATTTAACCTTTGATTTTTTTTCTCTCTTTTAACATAACCAAAATCAATATTCTTTTTATTTTTTTACTCTGAACAAATTGCCCTAGTTCACCAATTCTCAAGACCCAGGTTTGTGCATTCACACCCTCTCCATAGAGCCAGCTAATAATTTTCTTTGTGCAATCCATCAAATTATGAGGGCCTATCAATTGTGGATACTGCCGCTTAATGAAATTCCATAGAACCTATTGATTTCCAATATTTCATACAATTCACAGCTGCCTCATCTGTTGGGTACAAATCAGGACTTTGATGGCCCTATTAGGATTCCCCTCTGCTATCAAGCCCAGTCATTTCCACCTGAATTTCAAATGCCTGGGCCTTTTCAGTTAGCATTGCAAAGGTAATACTTTAGCCTTGGAGCTAAGCAAGGGACTCTATACTGGAATCTCTCTCTTTTGTTATGAGGTCAGGAAAATGGTGTTGTCAAAAGTAAGTGCAGAGATCTATTGAATCTATAGCTCTTATACATTTCCTGCACTATTCACTGTTAAATTAGAGCATTTAAAATAAGTACAACCAAAATGTAAATATCAATAATTTAAAATTATTTTCTTTATGTTTTGAAATACAAAGCATTCTCTTTCAGTTAAGAAATACCAAGAGTTACTTTCTCTCTCTGTCTGTCTCTTTCTCCCTCTCCCATGGTCTCTGAAATAAGACTACAAATTACATAGTAGTGCCATGGCAGCAAAGTCTCTGATTAGTTACACATGTTTAATCACAGTTGTAGGAAGCCACTTCCTCTTCCACATGCAACCATCAAGAGTCAAACAAGCCAGCCGTAAGCTCTGAACATGAACCTAATTCACACCTGATCAAAACCATGTAAAATGGCCTCCCTTGTATGTTTATTTTTTGTGTTTAAGCATAGTTATACTCTGTGTGTGTATATACGTTGTTCGTGGCCGTATACATATTTCCCTCTCATTACGAGTAGGAAGTGTGCTCAATCACCGCCACAGCATCCTGCATGTATTTTATTTCAGTTTACACTCAAAGATCCAGCATATATCTGGCAATATAATTATTTATCTACAAATTAAACCATTTTATATACACTTTAAACTATAAAAAAAATGTTATGACAATTTAATAGGCATTTTTGCAAATAAAAGTGATTTATTACACAAAACTCTAAACTAGCTGCTATAAAACATAGTTAAGTTGATAGTTCTTAGGTGAGTTAATAATTATTTTTAAAAAAGGGGGCTCATAGCTACTAAAAGAGCAGAAAAATGGGTTTATAATTACTTGTACGATATGTATAAGACTGTAAATCTAAACACACATAAACACACACACACAAACATTCCAGAATAAAGTAAGTAATTGATTACATTTATGCTAATTTTTCTTCCACTAATCGTATGAGTGTAGCTCACCCAATAGGCTTAACAGCCAGCTATGAATGCAAGAGATAAAAAGACATGTGGAGAGCGACGTAACCTCTAAAAACTCTGCACATTACAGACGGCACATGTTTACTCAACATTAAATGTCTTTTAATATGCTTTATAAGTGAGTATTCATGAGATTCATACAGTGCTTACACTCATTTCAAAGGTTAAAATGGAGCGAGCCATGGTGACGCAGACATGAAGCATTTGTGCCAATTACAGTGACTCATTAGTAAAGAAATTCATCACTCCTCCTGTAATTTCTGTCCAAGGGGGGCATGAGCTATCAAGGTCTGATGTCTGTAACTTAATTAATTATCAACAGAAAGGCTTTGGACAGGCTCGGTGTTCTCATCCTCACTGGGGGCAGGGCTGAAAAAACAAGATATTATTTTACTTAATCATTGCCATGTTAAATTAAATTTAAAAAATGAAGGAAAATAAAATGTAAAATCCTGCACATTTTTATTTTGGGTTGTGCATTATTTATACTTTAGGAATATCAGTGGCACCTTCCTACTTGATTTTCCAGCAAATAACTCCATTCCATTAAAACAAAATAGCACTGATCATTTTCGGGAATTTCTATTATGTACCATCATTAAAAGGTTCGAATCCTAAGCAAAAACTGAGAAGTGAAAAGGAGCAAGTGAGTGGAAACGTCAGCGACACGTGACAGCAGGCTAAAAATCTCCTTAGCCCAGCAGCGGACAGAAGAACTAATTTCCATAATTGAGGGTTGAAAGGTCAACGCAAATGAGTAGGCATTGTGTTGAGCTGATTAGTTATTAGAATGGTATTACTGTCAATCTCTTTTATTCATTCATACAATTACAAGTGGGGGCCTTTGTATGCCTCTGACCTCACACACACTGACACGTTTTTTTCACATGCATACGTAGACACACAAGGAACACAAATTAAGTGCATATGTATGGAGATAAACGGCAAAAACATATATACACATATACACACATACACATGCTTTCTGCTGTCACTAAAGAATACCTGTCTAGAGTGTGTATAAGTGTGCTTGCACAGGCCTTCCTTGTCAAATTTACCCAGTGAAGAACTATATTTTTCTGATCTAAAAAAGAGAAATTATTTTTCCTACTTTAAAATTCATTTTGTGAACTTAATTTTAAAATTCCTGCTTTCATTTGAAAATGTCCTTTTTTGTAGCAAATCATCAATTAAGGGAATATCGTGAAGATTTATTTTTTTTAAATTCAATTCTACACCCTTAATAGCTCATAGACTCATAAAAAAATGTGCACACTGTCACATTAAAAAATATTTAAGATACAAAATTTAGGTGGGATTTTGCTCAATATTAGAACAGTAGCCACAGTGGTGTGCCACTTTATTATTTGTATGCGTTTGTTAGAAATATTATAACACTGTCCATGCTCACGATATCAAAATAATCCCATTTGCATTCACAATCACTCTGAAACAGTGGGGTAGCATTGTGCTGTGCAGCTGTGTGAAGGCGACATTTTGTGGTTATGTGTTTGCAAGACAGTGAAAAAGAGTGTGTGTGTGTGTATATGTGTGTGTGTGTGTGTGTGTGTGTGTGTGTGTGTGTGTGTGTGTGTGTGTGTGTGTGTGTGTGTGTGTGTGTGTGTTCAGGGGGTATTGATTTTCCTATAGCATGAGAAAGAAAAGGATGAAAAAAAATCCAATCCGTTTCTCATTCCTTTAAGAGTCTTCATTTACTCAGATGCAAATATTAAGCTGAACGCAGTCAATAGGGGGATTGTAGACATTGAATCTGTGTGTCCGCTATCATGCTCAGCAATCTTTGGCATGCTAACTGAAACCGCTAATCTGACATATTATATCAGATGAGGTATTCATGCTTTCCACTGATTCTGTGAAAGCCACAGAGCTGAGCATTGAGCGAAGCATTGAGCAATTACTAATTCACCCATTCTTAACAATTTCCAGATTCACTTAATGAACACAAAACACACACACACACACACACACACACACACACACACACACACACACACACACAGACAATGACACTGGTAACATAAGCTAAAGTCATTGGTATTTCATTTAAAAGGGGTTCATTTCAAGTGTACTGTATCCTAAATTCAAATTATTTTCAACTTAAAACCTCTTTGTAAAAATGTGATATTTTGTATTTCTTTTACGTTATTACAGACAGTAAGAATAGTCATCTCCAAAAAGTGCCTGCACTTGCAGCCTTACTAGAACCGCCCCTCCTTCTGCCCCTTTAAAATGCATTCTTCTTAAGCATCTGAGGATAGCTTAGAACCCTTAAAGAGGGATGTATCACTGTAAGTCCTGCCCAAGTTGGGAGGGGAGGGTGAAAAAAAGGCCTGCTGGGTTCTGCAATGTTGGAATACTTGTGCTAATTACATTTTTCCATTGTATTCTTCGATCACACATCCATCACTATGTTCTGTAAGAATAAAATGATAAAAGTCATGAATTTTTACGTTATTCTATATTTAAATTAATCTGATAGACAGATGTTTTGATTGATGTGTGCATGTTGCTGCATTTTAATTTGGTAATTTATCTGTCAGCACTGGATCGTTCAGCACACAGAAGAAGAAAATTCTGATTTTGCTTTGATCACAAACTTTTTTGAAGTGTTAATACAAGTTTTTATATACTTTTATAATACTCAATCTGTCTGCCATATTGTTTCGGCATTGCATTAATTCCAATAATTGTATACATCATTATTTGCATGTATTTCTTAAACCAGCAGATCCTTAAAGAAGGATATCTTTCTGCTTTTGCACGCTTCCTGGACAGTAATGTCTCTGTGGTCAGAACCACATAAAGCATCTCCTCGAACGATACCATGCATCCTCAGACCTGCAGAGGCTCGAGCGTCCTCAGCACAGCTGTGTGTGTGTGTGTGTGTGTGTGTCATCGGCCTGGTCAGCCCTACTGCAGAGTGGTACAGTCATATCTGCACTAACAGAGAGGCCTTTGTCATTGCCTGCAGATGTGGAGCAGCCAAAACATTAACGATTTGTTTGTGTAAGCATTTGCAATACAGTATTCAATGACGGCACTCTGTCCAGAAGACTGTGTCACCCGTCAAGATGGCTCTCTGTCTCTGGCTTGAGAAGAGGAGGAGGCTTTAGGATCTAATGGACGCTCATCTTCAGCAGGCCGAAGACATATTTAAGAGATTCTGTCTTTTTACATGGGGATTTCTGCGTCAGCTTCTTTTAAATTTAGATGGTTAGATGCAAATTTTCACGTAGGAAAACTGTTTCGCTTTTTACACCCACAAAACAAAGCTCCGTCAGTGACAAACCGAAACATCTCAGCTGTCAAACTCTTCGTTCGTGACTCTTCCTTACTGAACAAATCAGTCCTAAAACCATTTAAACAAACACAAACAAAGCCATCTAAAGAAAAACCACTAATGAAAACGATTTACCTTTTCAACTGATGGCTTGCGAGCTTTCTCTTAAATCTCCCAAAATCTGCTGCTTAGTCTAAGGTTAAAGAGTCCAACTCTCTCCTGTCTAGTTCTTCCTCTCAATCAGGATCTTACTTGTTCGTGTGTGTTTTCAGTGCTGAGTAGTAATTAAGACAAAGCCATATTTGAGTGCTTTCTTGAATACATCTTTGGCACAACTATGTGGGTGGTCCTGAGGCCTGCACCCAATGGTGAGAGGGGATTAAAACAAAAGCCAAACAAAGCCCCACTGCAGGGGAACCATGTTGGTACTGTCAGCAGGGATTTCCTCACTATATTATATTTTTTGAACCTCATAACTATGAACATTCCTGCCTCAAACGCTATGTCGTAGAGAAAGGAAAAAAGTTTAAACATTGGGACTGTGTTTGAAAATAAACACAGATTATTATTAAAGATTTTGATATTGAATAAATGTGAATATGTGTGTGTGTATAAAGCATCAAAAATGAAAACTGAAACCACCATTTGTAGTCATCCACCTGTTCAGTGACCAACATGTCTTTCCTGGGATGTCTGCTAAAATGTAGAAAATATTATTTTTACGACCAATAATATTGGGAAAATGCACTCTTCTTGGTTGAAATGAATCCTGTACGTCTCGGTCCACAGCTGGGTAAATTTACCTTTGGAGATTCCTCTAAATAGGAGTAGGCACAAGTGTACTCATATGCAATATGTACGCCACTGCCTCCCACACATTCCACATGCACACCTTCAGAGACACTGGATGCAGAGGAAGCGTGGTGAGATGAAAAGCCTGTCCCTGTTCACACTTTCTAGGACACGAGTAAGCTGTGCTGCCAAGGTCAACGGCACACATGTTCTAATTGTACAAGGAGCTTGACATCTAGCGGCAGGACCTGGCTGGCCGGGGCTAGACAAAGGTTAAGTCAGCAAGCTTTATAAAAGCACTCCTAAGCAGACCCCCCCCTCCCTCGTCTCCCCATCCTAACACACAGACACAACCCCCCATGCCCCCAGGGGGCAAGTGCCCGGAAGGCCTGAGGGGGAGAGGATATGCCAGACAAGGGCTTGTTGGCACTTGATTTCAGTTTTTCATCTTTTCAGGGATGCAGCACATTAAAGAGGTCCTCACTGAGCTGCAGTGGGCAGCAGTGAGAGAAATTCACACAAAAAGAGTCCTGATCAAATTGAGGGTTTGGAAAAAATGAACAGCCAAGGTGAAATTTATACCTAAGCTCATTAATCTTGTGCCTATTTTCTTGTTTGATGGCTATTTTCTTGAAATACGCTACGGACAGAGTGTGTGTCCTTGAGCATGATTTGAACACCGCTTGAATGCTTGACTTTCTCTTCCCTACTAGCCCAACGTGTATGGATTTACAGTCTAAATTGAGCAGCGACTGACAATTGGAACTTTTGAATTCCTCCGACATTATATGCAATGATTTGTCAAGGCCAGCGATCAATAGTGTCGTCACAAGCTGCACCACGGCAATAGGCAGCGGAGAATCTGATCATGCTGCAATGATACACTGCCAGTCTGACATTTGTAGCTCGCCTGTAAGGTAGCTTTGGATGAGACATGGTATTATTAGGTTTATCTAAGTGTGTATGGGCTCACTGTGTTCTGCCAAAGGCTTGGGATTGTTTCGCTGCAACGTCTGTCCTGGAAACAAGCGAGCCAGTATAGTGCTCCAGTGAGGACAGGCAAGAACATTCCACGGCCACTTCCAGTCTTAAGCACAATGGCGTAGATGCTATAGGTTACCCACAACCCAGTCTGTGTGTGTGTGTGTGTGTGTGTGTGTGTGTGTGATTTTATTTTATAGTTACACATCCACATAGGACAGTATGTGTTAAAATGGGGAACAGAATCCAGAGTGTATGGATTTTTTTTTCCAATTCTACACTTATGTCCTCTCTTGGTGGATCCATCTTTAGAACGTTTTCTGTGTCACAAATTGCAAAAATAATTTCTAAATTAAATTCTGCCTGCGTGTAAATTTTAGGACAGAAAAAGTTCGCTTTTCATTCCATGATCCTACAGGAGAGCAACCTGATGGACGTTTTCGTATCTCTGACCAAAATCTGGGTGAGGTTATCTCAGCATTGAAACAGAGACAATGTTTTTGTTAAAATATATGAATTGCCCCCGAAATGACAAAAATTCCACAGACTGAACCGGACAAAAGGACCAAGAGTCATCAGTGTGATTCTCCCCCCTCACACCAACATTTCCTCATGCAAACAAAGCTGCTCCCCAGAGATTACATCACGCATTTCTATTGTAAAGAAGCCTTGCAAAGTGTGTGTGTGTGTGTGTGTGAGTGTGACTCGGTGTGTGTGTGTTGGCCAACATGAGCCTATAATGAGGTATATATAAAAGCAGTGATATGTTGGCAGCTTTATCAATACCCCAAAAAGAAATAGATCTTTCACAGAAATCACCTCGAAGAGTGGTGATTTTAATTACAAAGACTGGATTGTTAATGGTAAAGGGTGCAGTTATATAAAATAAAAATGACATGATCTTATTCCTCATAGATAAAATAGGATTTTCTTCTAGATTTATTGAGATATAACTTTAGAAAATACATCAATTTGAAATACTATAATTTAAAAGAATTGTACATTTAAAAACAATCAGGTACAATATGATGTATGCACTATATGGTATAGAAATTAATATTCTCACAGTTGTCATGTTGTTCTTATAATTCCTGCAGCATTACTCCTGGCTTCAGATGTGACTTTAGCTCTATAATGGTCGTTTTATTGCGCAAAAGGCTGAGTACAGAATAAAACATGAATGAGCCTTTTTTTTCTTCCTCCACATGGTGAGGACGAGCTCTGTCAACCGATCATGTCGACACTGTGAGCAAAAGGGAACAAATCAAGTGTGCTAAATTTATGTGAGGGGGGTAAACAAAAACATTTCCATAACAAAACAAGGCTTCGACCTGCAACAGAATCCGCATTTTGCTCTTCGGAGAAGCAGACAGGCGCTCAGGGACAAAAGGCTCTAACGCAGAATAAAAATCCCCCAAAAATAAAATGGAACAGTTTTTACCATTTTAATATAATGAAAAATACACATCAGCTGCATTACCCGCCAATTACGAATTGTAGCTCTAAGAGAAAAATGTCAAATATTTTTCCAACTTCTCATAATGTGTGTGTATGCACGTTTGTGCGTGTATATTAGTGCGCGCGCATGCACGTACAAAGTCAACTGTTTGTAGATTTCAAAGGCGTATTTAAGAAAAGAGCCCCGATATCCTGACACAGGCAAGTGTTCAAATAAATCTCTTTTTGAAACGGGTCCCTCAAAAAAGGCCTCCAGCACACGGTAAAACGGATGCAAGTGTAAACTGGTGTAAATGAATAAATGCATTAGATATATTCATCTTAAAAGTCATCTATCAGCCACCAGCCGACACAGCATGCAGCCTGAGAGACATGCAGGTCAAACTGAGAATAAAACAAAACACACAACTTCTATCAGAGATCACTTCCCTTTGGATTGAAGACACTTTCTTACTTAATAACTGCATCACACTGGATTTGTCACAAATTATTGCATCTATATTTTAAAAAAATGAATCTAATCGGAAACCCAACAATAATCCAAATAAATCCTCATTTAAGGTCAAGCTTTAAAAAAAAAAAAAAAAAAAAAAAAAGGTTTAAAAAAGCTCCTAAAACAGAGTGAAGTGAAGAAAACAGCAATAGTGTGGAGCGGCAAAGCTGTGAGGAGGAAGTTGTCTGTTTGAAAGAAGACCTGGATAAGAGACCTCAGCTGATCAGATCCACTCACCGTGCTCGGAAACCACCCCGGCTAGTGCGGGATCCTCGTCCGACTTGAGGTGCTGCGGCTTGGCTTGCTTGCGTCGGGACATGCTGCTGGCGTCGGTGCTGGCGATGCTTCTGCTTTTGCGCTCCGAGATGTCTCTGCGTTTTGCAGATACATCAGCGAAGAGCGAATGAATCAACACGCAGAAAAGTTCGCAAACAGTCTGGTGGCGGAGAGGGAGAGGGGCAAAAAAAATCTGAAATTAGCCGGTGTTGCTGCCGCCGCTGCTGTTGCTGTGCGTCGGATTGCGCATGTCGGTATAATAATTATGATAGTGAATAATGCCTCGCGATTAATGGCACCGTGTGAAGGTGGGGAGGATTGGCTGGAGTCCAGCGGACGCGCATTGGATATGGTAATGAGGGACGGACTAAGCAATTAGCCGCTTCACTCTCAGACTTTATCCGTCTCTTTTCTCTTTACTATCCAGCCTCCCCCAACAACACAGCACAACACACCAAATCTCTTGTTATGCCCGGCTCACGGGGGGGTCTTCAACAGGGAAACGTCAGGCTCGTTCCCCCCCCTCCTTTCACGAAGCGCACTGACTCACAGTTGCGGAGGATTCGCCGCCGTGTTTCTTCTCGAAGTATCTCTCATCTTCATCACTCTGACCTTTATGATCCCACTTTTATCTTCACAACTTCAGAAAGCCTCTTTCTCATAAAGTCTGTCTCGAGAGCTTGGCTCAGTTCTCGCACTTTCTCTCTCTCGGTAACTTTTGTGTGTGTGTGTGTGTGTGTGTGTGTGTGTGTGTGTGTGTGTGTGTGTGTGTGTGTGTGTGCCGGAGCTGAACACGCACCTCCTTCTGAACTGGACTCAAATGAAGCGATGTTTACAGTCTCTGAGATGTTTCAGGCAAGAGTTTTTCTCTTGATGGACATCTTTCCGGTAAAGTAGCTGCTGTTTGACTTGGTACACGGACATCGATAGCCGGGAAGTGGACGGGGCGAGTAAAGTTCTTGACAATAACAATAAATTGTTACCAGGGTTTTCTTTATAATGGCGCAGCTCCGCTCTCCAAACTTTGACGCGCGTCTTCCGAGAAAGCGGCGCAGCGATTAGCGACAGTCCTGCTCTCGGGCTACAACACCAGTGTCAATGTGATCAAAAACTCATTTGTCCCGCAAAAGACAAGTTGCTTCAGTGTTTCTGATCGCGATGAAGTTCCCCCTCGTCCTCCTCCTCTCGCCGTGTTTTAGCTCCCGGCTGCGCCTTCGCTTCGGTGCGCTCTCCAAAAGTGGCTTTTCTGGATATTTGGTGGCCAAACGCTCAGACGCTGCTTGTTTTCCAAATGAAAGCATCAGTCAGTGTCTTCCCTTCGGTCGGCTTGCGGGCTCATGTCGAAGCCAACTTTGAAGTTATCTTCTGGCAGCCCACTAGCACTGTCGGTCTCTCGGTGTTGGGCATGGCTCTGTGTGTGTGGGGGACTGCGCAGTGTGTGAGAGTTAACCCCCAAGCAGAGGTTCAGCCCATTGCTTTCAGCCACCACTAGGATGTACCACCACGTTACTGTTCAATGGATCGTCCTCAGACTCCAATGTGAACACCCAGATTTGACCTCCCATCATATAATATCTCGCAGCTCCTACCAGCCGCCGCCTGTAAGGAACACACTGTCATATTAATCTCGCAGTATTTTTTTTTTTTTTTTATGAGAGCGGCGATTTTGTGGTTCCACGGTAGGCTCTCCATCACAGCCTCCTGCCTTTATGTTAACTTTATTTCTAGTTTATGGACGTTTTACGCACGGTAGCAACCACTGGATATGTAGTTATATACTGACAGTAATCACACCCTAGTGATTTACTGTAAAAATAAAAGACATTATTTTATAACGTCCCGTAACACTGTATGTCCTTTTTAGAACATCATATATACAATTCTTAATATTTTCTTACATTTGTTTTTACCCATCTCTTTTCACACATGCTTAAAATGAACAGAGGTGGAAAGAGAAACGACGTTGTGCATTGATGGCAGATCATTGTTGTACTGAATAAACACGTTAACCCTTTACTTTGCAAATTTCTATTTGCATTAAATTCCCGGGATGCATGGGGTCACATTAATGGGAAAAGGATTGGAAGGATTAAGATGTGCGAGGCCGTCTGGCATGTAAATAAGAAGGGGGGAAAAAACATGCGTCATTTGTATTGATAAACATGATTTATGATCAACGTAAAGTTATTATAGCTATTCAGTTTTGGGGGTTTTTTGTATGACAAACTTCATAATTTGTCATAGATCTCTTCCAAATAAATAACTGCGTGCTTTAACATTACAAGTTATTAAAAATAATTTTCTGAAAATATCTGGTGGTTTAGTTGTTTCAACGCATAAAACGCGAATTTCTAAATAAATTAGAAACCATTTTACTGTAACGATGGATCCTGAGCTTTTTTCAGTTAAATGGGGGGGGAGCTCAGTTAGAGCTCCCCCTCCCTCCTTCCCTCCCTCTCCCTCATGTCGGTTTGACTTGTCTATTCCCCTGTGTCCATCTCATATGAGAGACAAATCTGTTGACAACAAGGTCGTCCTGTGAACAAACTTTCTTTTTTTTTGCCTTCGTCTTCTTCTTCCTCTCCTTCTCCTTCCATCATCCCCCCTAGAAGTTATGTCCAAAAGGCTGTTATTATCTGGTATTAATAGATTCAGCCCCAGGAAGACAAAATCAGCTATTGATAATTGCAAGGAGTATACGGCAGCTACTGTATCGATCGGCGTGTCCTCCACTCCCCTGGTACTGAGAGATAAGGAGACACACTCTTTAGAGCAATATAATTTCTTTTGACCTATCTGCTTGCTACAGACTTATGATGAATAGCCAGAGTGGCTGAAGTCCTTTATCACCAAAGTTACCCGCTTGATATAATATTGATTCTTTATAACTAGCTCGCCACACAAAAATCAAACTGTCCACTTGGCCATCATCATCATCAATATCATCACAAAGGCGGAGGAATGAAGATCCCTGCGCCTCTGAGGGCGAGCCTTTACAATCTCCTCTGTAGGCCTAATCTTTATTTTGCTGATGATGAAAGGAGAGGGGAAACGAGGCAAGGTGCCATTTAAGACGAGGTGCCATTTAATCCGGTATAGACTACACACACACACACACACACACACACACACACACACATAGAGAGGGAGGGAGGGAAGGAGGGAGGAAGATCCAGTGTGATCGGGATTGCCAAACAGCTTGTACTTCAAGTAATTAATTTGGTGTGAAATTTTGGATTGACAGAAAGGTGATTTTAGCACACTCTAAATACGGCGGGGGGGGGGACTATTAACATGGCCACGGATTTGGAAAAAGCTAGATGCCATAACACCAAATAAATACCTCTTTAATTTTGACTGCAGTGGAACAGTATAAAAATGAACGTTTGTTTTCTGATGCAGCTGACACCGGATGCGCCTCAGAGGCATCTTTTCACCTTAAAGGACGGACTGTTTTTGGTGCATAGCTGGAGCCCCCCATAGCGGCTCTTACAAACGGGGCCACTCTCCCTATTCACCGAGAGAGGGGAGAGCGCTGCTCGTGGAGGAGGAGAGGGGTTGGAGGGGAGGAGGAGGAGGAGGGTGGGATGGGGTTGGTGGGGCTGGGGTGGGGTGGGGGGGCGAGCGATGGAGGAAGGAGGGGAGGGTGGGAGAGGAGAAACGTGTAATCACCCAAACAACCATTTTTACCCATTTCACCCCCTCTGGATCTGTGTCGCAAGGTAAGAAAAAGGCTACTTGGCTTCTATACTGGCCCTCTCTGCATCATAAACTGCATCGGCTGACTTCTGTAAGAACTCCTCTCCCCCTTTTCTCTCACACTCTGCAGTCTGCCGTGAGCTTATCTGTCTTTCACTGCGGATACCGTGAAGGGAGGCCGGACCGTGAGGGAGACGCCAAGAGGTACTTTGAATTTACTCGTTTTTTCTTGTCGCTTCATTGTAAAAAATAACAAGTAAAGTTATCCGTTGTATATCTTTAAATACGAGGATGTGAGAACATGATATTTTATACCCGCTGTTTGGATTGTAAAGCATGTGATTAGACGGTAAAAGTGCACTCTGAATAACTGCGTCCCTTGCGTCAGTGTCCAATCAGACGTCTTTGCGCCGCCGCAACTGGTGCCAAGACGCATTTACACACACCGCAGGCTACTGTAGCAGCCTATGGGCAGCCTATGGCATACTGATGGGGCTTCTATCTGCACCAATCAGAGACGAGATGCAACTTTTTTCTGCTATTGGCTGATCATAATAACACTATCCCTGCGGACAAGTATTCCTAAAATATTCCCGCTAGATTGAGATTTATTATTTGGTTTATAGTCATCTTATTAGTTGTTACTGGCACTGATTTATCTTTTATGACTATAATACTCACATAGTGTGTGTATTACATTTGGTGAAGTTCATACTTTCTATGCTTTTATTGTAAAACACTTCAGTTGAGATTAACAGGCCAAATTAATTGTTTTTACTGACCTTATAAGGAATTTTATGTCACCTTAATAGTTACAAAATATTCCTGTAGAGCCTGATATTATGTCAACGGTATTTGGTAGTTTGAAATGATCACAAATATATTTTATTCTCCTCTAATCTATCATCATATTCCTATTATTATTTCTTATTATTATCTTACTATATTATTTTATTCAACTATTACATCACATTCTTTTAATATCTATTATAGGATTACTATGTGTTATTATAAATATTATGCTGATATGAATTATATATTATGGTAGAGTCTTAACAGTCTTTTCAAAAAGTTCAGATAGTAAATATAAAGTGATAAAAAAAAAAATCATAATCTTGTGGTAGCTTATTATTATACTATTTCTATGCTGGTATATTCTTAAACTGCCTCAGGGGTTTTATCTAATACCAGAAAACATTATTTTATCCTTTAAAATAGGATCAGTAAAGTTATTTTTATAAAGATTATTGTTGGCATGGGTTACTTCTTAGTGCTTGGTCTCATATTAAGGGTCTTTTCAGTAAAACTATTCAGAAGGGAGCCACTCTAAGTGTGTGTAGTATTATTAGACACTGAGTGAAACTATAGCAGCTGCGTGTCTGAATGACATGATATAAGACATGTTTTCTAGCTTTGCTTTGCGCTACACATCCATTAGCTGGGTATGTAAAACACACGCACACACATGCACACACAATTTGATACATAATTGTGGACATCATGCATAAGTAATGACTATTGTAGCTGGGACTCTACTAACTAGCAACTGGCTGTGATCCTGCACTGAGAGTGTTTTATTCTTACATTTATCAGAGAGATTAGGAGGCATTTGATTCTGTGTGATCTCCATACTCTTTTTTTTTTTCCATCAGACATCAGCGAGCTCAACCATGTATTTCCAGCTATCATATCATGACCTGCGCACTTGCTTTAAATGAGGCAAGCCGAGATAAAATGTGACAGGCAGCTTGTACCTGAGATGAGTAAAATTTGATCTGACTGGTCCAATCAGGCCTAATTGAAATGAATTGAATCAACTCATTTCTTCTGCTACTGTAATTAAATTAGTAGCTGGGGTGTAATTGGACATCGAGTTGGCACTCGAAAGGAGATGACAAAATGCTCATTGCTGCCACCAAAGGACTATGTGTCAAATTCAGTGTGAAAGGCAGCGCAGCAAATGCTGGCTGACACATTGACAAGGCCAGTGCTTCACTAGAAGAGTCTACAAACAAAACACCCTCCGATTATCTGCCAGACTGAAACACTGCCTCATATAGAGGGAAATATGTGATCTGCCTACATTTGGTTAAAGCAAACTTGATATAGCATATGGTAAGTGTGGAAATGTCAACTGTATATACAGTGCCTCAAAATTTAGACTTGAGTTCTTGCTTTTATAGTCCAGAATACTGTTTTCCTGACACAGGAAAAATCACGTGAATACGTGAATCACAAGATACTGAAATTATGACAAGGTTAGCAGCTCTTAAATAAAGAATTCCCCTCTTAATTTATGGCAGAGAAACTCTGGGACTCATGTATAAAGAATCAACAGATAAAAATGTTAAAATTGAAGGCAAATAAAATAAAATTCCGTCAGCTGATATCTGATATTTATTAAAACTGTGCAGACCAATGTATTAGCCTAGTCCTCCTAGATATGTAAGAACATTATTTCAATTTGATATTTGAATTGAAGGCCCTGTTTCAAATATCTCACATATCAACTTGACCCACACAGGAAGGGAAGAGCTTTATCTGCTCCAAGACCTTGGTCATCTGTGATTCTAATGCCATTTCCAAGAACAATGAGCAGAAAGGGGCTAAAGTCGCACTGATGACACTTAATCTCATTGGAATTTCTTGTCAGGTTTGACCTTGGGAAGATATTAACCACTCGACAAGTGACTGTGCGTGTGTATGTGTGTGTGTGTGGGAGGGGAGAGGTGCCTATGTGTCTCTGTCTGCAGTTATGTGATTGCAAGTGTGAATGCCTCTGTGTGTGTTTTATTAAATGTCTGAGGAGTGAACACAGGTGAAATGTGCTTGAGAGCAATTTTAGATTCCTTCTGTCAGTGTAACTGTGGGTCAGTGAACCTTTCCCGTATTTACATGGAGCTCTAGCACTCCTTGTGTATTGTTTGGAGTTGTGGTGGGGGGCACTGTGCATGTTCCTGAAAGCAGCCAACAGCCAGACCAGTGGGCTGCAGGGATCTGTGGCCCACTGATACTATGTGTGCCACATTGTCTGTTCAATAGAGGCCTTTGAATATTTAAACAGCATCAGTTACTTCATACTGTCATTGTTTTGGCACCATTTGCCTTGCTTAATCCTGGTAAGTGCATATCTACACTGCCTTACTGACAGTGTAGAGGTGTGTGTGTCTGTTTACGTGTATGTGTGTGTGTGTCAGGAGAAGGGGCATAGATAGATTGTATGTAGTGGAAGTTAGCATACTGATAAAAGAAACGGTAAGTAGCTGCGGTCGCGTCCTCTGTAGTGATTGCCATTAGAAGTGTGAGTGTGTGTGCAAGAATACCTGTGCGAGCATGTGAGCGTGCTGGTATATGATGTGAAATGTGAGAAAAGACAGAATAACAAAAAAAAACTAAAATGAAGGCAATAATGTTCAGTATCTACAAGGTTACTCAGATATTTAAAGCCAGCTAAGATTTAACCAAAACAACATCTCACTAAAGTCAGAAATGTATGTTTCTGCGTTTGCTCTTAAAACAACTGCTTCCTATCAGTCAACGCTATCTTCTAGAGCATCAGTTTGATCTCGCTGTTCCCACTACAAAGATGCAACAATACAAACAAGGTGAGGTCGATTGCAAAAGGCCCGCGAGCGCTAAGAGTAGCAATTAGAGTTAAACTGATACCTTTTAGTCAGGTATCTGAAGCTGAGATGGTGTAAAAACAGTATTGTTTTGCCCTTAAATGAAACAAAAAAGGCCAATTCTGACTTTTATTGTGGATTACGAATAATCGTAATAAAATAGGTTAGCAGTTGGTGCATGATCATGTTTTGGATTTTCATTGTGGACTCAATAAGCAAACATTTTTTGCTTGAGTGAGATAAGAATTTAGCAAAATAATAACAAATGAAACATAATTGATTTTATTATGAAAAAAACATGCACATTTAAAATAAAGCAGAAATATACATGGACCACAGGATAAGTTTACAGATTCTTATAGACACCTGTGTGCAATATGACTTCCTGAATAGAATTTTGTGTGCTTGTGTGTGAAGGATAAAGTGAGGTTTTTGTTCTAGCAATATATTGCTTGTATGAAGGCGTTTTAAGATAAAGAAACAAAGGTCTTGCTTGCTGTGGGGGAGTTTTGGCTTTTGCTACACATAGATTCCTTCACTTACAGTACTGGATGCAGCGGTAGGACTACAGTCCTTCAGCCTTTCTCCTCCTCACTCTGTCTCCGTCTCCAGGGAGAAATATTTGCACAGTGAACCCTTCTCTGTATAGTTTCTATGCTCTTCCCTCTTTGCTCTTCCCTCTTTGTCCCTACACTGACTTATTTATGGTAACCCGCTAATGAGCTACACAGTCTTTTGTAGTGAGAGACAGCATGTGTAAACATTTAGATTTTTTCCCTCAAGTACATGGCGAGATTCACCAAATTAAAAGGCACAAAGTGAAATGAAATCACGGAGCAACCTAACACCTGATCAAATACAAGGTTACCCATGCAGTGTTTTGTGTTTTGCCGTGTTAATGCCCTATGTTGCTATCAGTCTGGCGTGTGTTTTGGAGGACTGCCAGCCAGTGGAGGAAGAGCACCTATTTTGTGGAGAGGTAATTGCTACACAGTAGCCTCTGATTGCCAGGATCTTTCACTGGGAACAGCCCCGGCTCCCTTTTCACTTGCACCGACAGCCTGATTACAAATCATCTTATTGATTTGATGAGTGCAAGATGTTTGCTAATAACTGTTCTCATACCATCTGTTAATCTTTGTTGTGATTAAAGAGGTAATCCCAATACCCATTATTCCCAATGACAAGAGCAGGGATCGTTCTCTTACACAAGCTTTAGCTCCTCACAGGCCACGCTGGGCTGGAAAGGGTGGGGTGATGGCGGGGGGGAGGACTCAAGGGGGTGCAGTACCAAGGATATCAGTGATCTCCGAATGCAATTGAGAAATCTGCTCCACCTTCCACATAACAAACGTGATACAAAAAGAAAAAAAGAATTACACCCCTCGCTAAAAATCCATTACCCCGTATAATCACGCAAAATGATTTTTCTTAAATATGATAATAAATCACAGGCCGGATCAATAGCCTGCAGACCAACTGCTATGCCCTGATAACGTATCAATCAATATTTAGTATTTAGATTTTAATTAATACCTCGGCTTGGCTCAGAGCCTGTTAACACGGAGAGAAATATAATCT